TAGTAAAATGGATTTACTCTTAGAAATTGTATAGCAAATGGATTTACTTTAGAAATTGTATAGCAAATGGATTTGCCGTTAGAAATTGTAAATATTTACTCTTAGCAAAAATGGATTTACTTTAGAAATTGCATGTAAATGGATTTACTCTTAGAAATTGTATAGCAAATGGATTTGCTTAGAGGAATTGCATAAGTAAATGGATTTACTCTTAGAAATTGTATAGCAAATGGATTTGCCTTAGCAATTGCATAGCAAATGGATTTACTCTTAGAAATTGTACAGCAAATGGATTTACTTTTAGAAATTGTATAAATGGATTTGCAAATGGATTTACTGAAATTAGCAATTGCATATAAATGGATTTACTCTTAGAAATTGTATAGCAAATGGATTTGCCATTAGGAATTGCATAGCAAATGGATTTACTCTTAGAAATTGTATAAATGCAAATGGATTTACTCTTAGAAATTGTATAGCAAATGGATTTGCTTTAACGTGCATGCAAATGGATTTACTCTTAGAAATTATGCAAATTTTATAGAAATTATTATAGCAAATGGATTTACTCTTAGAAATTGCATTAGCAAATGGATTTACTCTTAGAAATTGTATAGCAAATGGATTTACTCTTAGAAATTGCAAAATGGATTTACTCTTAGAAATTGGAAATGGATTTCTCTTAGAAATTGCATGTAAAATGGATTTACTTATTAGCAATTGCATGTAAAATGGATTTACTCTTAGAAATTGTATAGCAAATGGATTTGCCGTTAGGAAATGATTACTCTTAAAATTGTATAGCAAATGGAAATTGCATCGTAAATGGATTTACTCTTAGAAATTGTATAGCAAATGGATTTGCCGTTAGCAATTGCATCGCAAATGGATTTACCCTTAGAAATTGTATAGCAAATGGATTTGCCATTAGGAATTGCATCGCAAATGGATTTACCCTTAGAAATTGTATAGCAAATGGATTTGCCGTGAGGAATTGCATCGCAAATGGATTTACTCTTAGAAATTGTATAGCAAATGGATTTGCCGTTAGCAATTGCATCGCAAATGGATTTACTCTTAGAAATTGTACAGCAAATGAATATACTTAGAAATTGTATAGCAAATGGATTTGCCGTTAGCAATTGCATCGCAAATGGATTTACTCTTAGAAATTGTTAGAAATTTTGTATAATTGCAAAAATGGATTTACTCTTAGAAATTGTATAACAAATGGATTTGCCGTTAGAAATTGTATAGCAAATGGATTTGCCGTTAGCAATTGCATGGATTTGCAAATGGATTTACTCTTAGAAATTGCATACATAAATGGATTTACTCTTAGAAATTGCATTCGCAAATGGATTTACTCTTAGAAATTGCATTAACAAATGGCATTTACTTAGAAATTGTATAGCAAATGGATTTGCCGTTAGCAATTGCATGTAAATGGATTTACTCTTAGAAATTGTATAGCAAATGGATTTGCCATTAGAAATTGCATCGCAAAATGGATTTACTCTTAGAAATTGTATAGCAAATGGATTTGCCGTTAGCAATTGCATCACAAATAATTTACCCTTAGAAATTGTATAGCAAATGGTTTACTCTTAGAAATTGCATAGCAAATGGATTTACTCTTAGAAATTGTATAGCAAATGGATTTGCCGTTATGCCCTTAGAAATTGCATAGCAAATGGATTTACTCTTAGAAATTGTATACAAATGGATTTACTCTTAGAAATTGTATAGCAAATGGATTTGTGTATAGCTTAGAAATTGTATAGCAAATGGATTTACTCTTAGAAATTGTATAGCAAATGGTTTGCCGTTAGAAATTGCCATAAATGGATTTACATAAATGGATTTACTCTTAGAAATTGTATAGCAAATGGATTTACTCTTAGAAATTGTATAGCAAATGGATTTGCCGTTAGCAATTGCATAAATGGATTTACAATTGCTTAAATGGAAATTGTATAGCAAATGGATTTGCCATTAGGGAATTGCATCATAAATGGATTTATTTAATTTTTTAGAAATTGTTATAGCAAATGGATTTGCTGTTAGCAATTGCATGTAAATGGATTTACTATTAGAAATTGCATCATAAATGGATTTGCCGTTAGCAAATGCATTTGCTGTTAGCAAAATGGATTTACTCTTAGAAATTGTATAGCAAATGGATTTGCCGTTAGCAATTGCATCGCTAAATGGATTTACTCTTAGAAATTGTATAGCAAATGGATTTACTCTTAGAAATTGTATAGCAAATGGATTTGCTCTTATCAATTGCATGCAAATGGATTTACTCTTAGAAATTGTATAGCAAATGGATTTGCTTAGCTTAGAAATTGCATAGCAAATGGATTTACTCTTAAAAATTGTATAGCAAATGGATTTGCCGTTAGAAATTGTATAACGCAAAATGGATTTACTCTTAGAAATTGTATAGCAAATGGATTTGCCCTTAGCAATTTTGCCATTATCGCAAATGGATTTACTCTTAGAAATTGTATAGCAAATGGATTTGCGTTAGTATTAAATGGATTCTCTTAAAATTGTTTACTCTTAGAAATTGTATAGCAAATGGATTTGCCGTTAGAAATTGTATAGCAAATGGATTTACTCTTAGAAATTGTATAGCAAATGGATTTGCCGTTAGCAATTGTTTACTCTTATAACAAATGGATTTGCGTTAAATTGCATCGCAATGGATTTACTCTTAGAAATTGTATAGCAAATGGATTTACTCTTAGAAATTGTATAGCAAAATGGATTTGCCGTTAGCAATTGCATGTAAATGGATTTACTCTTAGAAATTGCATAACAAATGGATTTACTCTTAGAAATTGCATAGCAAATGGATTTACTCTTAGAAATTGGCATGTAAATGGATTTACTCTTTTAGAAATTGTATAGCAAATGGATTTGCCGTTAGCAATTGCATCGCAAATGGATTACTCTTAGAAATTGTATAGCAAATGGATTTGCCGTTAGAAATTGCATATAAATGGATTTACTCTTAGAAATTGTATAGCAAATGGATTTGCCGTTAGCAATTGCATCGCAAATAGATTTACTCTTAAATTTGTATAGCAAATGGATTTACTTAGAAATTATTATAGCAAATGGATTTGCCGTTAGGAAATTGTATAGCAAATGGATTTACTCTTAGAAAATGGTTACTCTTAGAAATATAGCAAATGGATTTGCCGTTAGAAATTGTATCTTAGAAATTGCATAGCAAATGGATTTACTTTAAATTGAAAAATTGTATAGCAAATGGATTTACTCTTAGAAATTGTATAGCAAATGGATTTGCCGTTAGCAATTGCATTAAATGGTTACTTAGAAATTAGAAATTGCGTTATAAAATGGATTTACTCTTAGAAATTGTATGTAAATGGATTTACTCTTAGAAATTGCATCGGTTGCAAATGGATTTACTCTTAAAATTGCATGTAAATGGATTCTCTTAGAAATTGTATAGCAAATGGATTTGCTCTTAGAAATTGCATCGTAAATGGATTTACTCTTAGAAATTGTATAAATGGATTTACTCTTAGAAATTGTATAGCAAATGGATTTGCCGTTATCAATTGCATCATAAATGGATTTACTCTTAGAAATTGTATAGCAAATGGATTTGCCGTTAGGAATTGCATTGTATAAATGGATTTACTTAGAAATTGTATAGCAAATGGATTTGCCGTTAGCAATTTTTGCATTAACAGTGCATAAATGGATTTACTCTTAGAAATTGTATAGCAAATGGATTTGCCGAAATTATAGCAAATGGATTTGCATCGGAAATGGATTTACTCTTAGAAATTGTATAGCAAATGGATTTGCCGTTAGAATTGCATCATAAAGTGATTTGGACTCTTAGAAATTGTATAGCAAATGGATTTACTCTTAGAAATTGTATAGCAAATGGATTTGCCGTTAGCAATTGCATCGCAAATGGATTTACTCTTAGAAATTGCATCGCAAATGGATTTACTCTTAGAAATTGCATCGCAAATGGATTTACTCTTAGAAATTGCATCGCAAATGGATTTACTCTTAGAAATTGTATAGCAAATGGATTTGCCGTTAGCAATTGCATCGCAAATGGATTTACTCTTAGAAATTGTATAGCAAATGGATTTACTCTTAGAAATTGTATAGCAAATGGATTTGCCGTTATCAATTGCATCGCAAATGGATTTACTCTTAGAAATTGTATAGCAAATGGATTTGCCGTTAGCAGTGCAATTGCATTGTAAATGGATTTACTCTCTTAGAAATTGTATAGCAAATGGATTTGTCATTAGTAAATTGCATCATAAATGGATTTACTCTTAGAAATTGTATAGCAAATGGATTTGCCGTTAGCAATTGCATACATAAATGGTTTACTCTTAGAAATTGTATATAAAATGGATTTGCCGTTAACAATTGCATGTAAATGGATTTACTCTTAGAAATTGTATAGTAAATGGATTTGCAGTTAGCAATTGTAATAAATGGATTTACTCTTAGAAATTGTATAGCAAATGGATTTGCCGTTAGGAATTGCATCGCAAATGGATTTACTCTTAGAAATTGTATAGCAAATGGATTTCCTGTTAGGAATTGCATTGCAAATGGTTTTACTACAGAAATGCACTACACATTATTACAGGGATGAATTGCAAATTATTTTACTATAGTAACATATTGGAAATGGCTTTACTATATAGGAATGCATTGTCAATTATTATAATACCAGCTGTTTATGCTACACATAATATAAAAGTTATGATTTGATACATACATAGCAAAATATCAAAGACTAGAAACATTTGTAAATGGGAAGTACATTTTGTGAGTGGTAAGATGAGAGTAAAGTAGTTGGAATTAGCAAAAAGAATAAAATGTTTGCATTAAAATATCCTGTCCTGAGAAAAACTTAAATTTATTCTTGAAGACTGTAGACAGTGTACATGGGGGACGCTGTCTGACTATACTATACCTACCTCTTTCAACTGGGTAAGCATTCCTAAAACGATATTTTCTCCCATTTTGGTTGATGTTCCAAGCAGATGTTCAATTGGCTTCAGCTGAAAGGGAAAGAATGGAAAACATGATGCAAAAATGAAAATAATTTTGAAATCAATCTGACATGATCAAAAGAGGTCAGAAACCCATATCCTAAACTTGTAACGACCTCCACCCAAGAAAAAAGACCAAGAAATTCATCTATCGTAGCATTCTTTCATTGAGGTAAGAAAGGTTGTGATTGGTTGAAATATAAGGTTTGATTGATTGATTAGCTGTTTTTTTTTTTTTTTTACAGCTTATCAACCTTTTGCAAGCTATCTAAATCCAGTAAATATTTTTATAATGATTTTTACTGATACAAGTTCTACTAATAAGGCAATAGATAAGTGGAGAAGATGTGCATTCATACCTTTTCTAAGTGAATATAATGAACATGACTGGAATTAGAACTCGGATCTCAAGTAGAGATGCACAAAAAATTACCATATTTTAAAGCCTACTAAAGTCAACCCAAACTTTTTTCTGATTTTCTTTTTTGACAGTGCAGAGAACAAGGTAAGACTTTGCTTTCTCCTTCATGGCCAGAGTTTGTTTAATATAATTTCATAACAATCCTTGTTTGAAAATTTAATGTGGAATATAAATCTGAGGATAAAACCCAATGAATTAATAGATAATGATAGACATAGGCTTGATTTACACTAAAGTCAAAAAAAGTAGATAATGATTTGGTTTACATTAGAGCAAAAAAAATATAGGCATGTGTCCGGTTTACAGAAAAGTCAAAAAAGTAGGCATAGGTTTGGTTTGTTACATTAAAAAGGTAGGTACTTGTTGGGTTAATATCTAAATCTGCAAGTATCCACTTCGAAAGTGGTCCCTTTGGGTGGGTAGGTGGTCAGTCTGATCCCTCTGCAGGAGAAGCAAAGGAGTTACTGTTGTACATCCCCGGTAATACAAATGAATTAGGCAAGACGCCTTAAATAAAGAACTCAAAATGAGTCAGTAGAAGTCTGTTGGAGTCGGTAAAGGAGAAAGAATTGATGACATTATGGCATGTAGCCTAAGCAAGACATGATACGAAAACTACTAAGAGTGAGTTATAGCAGTTACATACAATAATTAAATAATTACGCAAAAGTTAAAAACACTAGAGTGATAAATTTAGACAGGAGTCAGAGTTTACGGTAGAGTACAAAATGTTGACATAGCTTCAGGTTAAACTAGAGCCAAATAGGTAGACATGAATCTAGTCTAAAATAAAGTCTAGAAAGGTTATACATTGGTCCAGTTTTCACTTGGATCAAATAGGTAGACATAGATCTGGGTTTACAATAAAATAAAAAAAGGCAGGCATAGATCTGGTTTTAAACTAAAAGCAAAAAGGTAGACGCAGGTCTGTTTTTTTTAGAGTCAAAAAGGTGGATATTGGCCCAGTTTTCACTTGAATCAAAAAGGTAGACATAGGGCTACTTTATAACAGAGTAAAAAAAAGTTAAATAAAGTCAGTCTACACTATATCTAAAAGGGTAGGTATTGGTTAGATCTATATTAGAGTTGAATGCACATTTTGAAAGGACGGCCTACATTTGCGCATGAAGTCCATTTTTTTTTTTTAGAGTCACCTAAAATTTTAAATTTGCCAACTCTAAGATTCCCAGTGATGTAGATTAAGCATCACATCAACACCAGCAGAATTTTATTTTTGAAGACATTGAAATTAATAACATCTATTCACAGTTTATATTTAATAATGTTATCAAGTGAGTGTACTTTGCAGTCATTCAATTTCTTCTTTTCATTTATATCTCTCTGATCGTGCAAGGTTCCATAGATAGCCATACATGTGGGTTTGTTTTTTTTCGAAGAAGAGGTGCTATTTCCAAGGGAGATGTAGAGAAGCATACAGCATCCTTTATAGCAAAATGATTTGGGTAAATTTGGGTATGAAATTTATAAAAAATTTTTTCTAAGTATTTAAACTACTTTTAATTTGGTCTTATTTGAAATTTTGAAAAATCCTTTTTATCTAACAATATAAAACCAGAAGAAAAAATATGGGGAAAAGGGAGAAGGTAACTCTTCTGGTTCAAATAGTTTGGAAAATTTCATCACTCTTTTAAATCGTGCCAGTTTCTATGAATTCTTCTGATTCTTTTTCTCCAGTCTTTACAAACATTTATTGTGCCCAACAATTCTTCTGTTTTGCATTCTGTACCTTCACATAATTGCTGAATGTCCGTTTTGAAAGAGCAGCCTAGATTCGTGTGTCCATGTTTTGGTGTCTGAAGAAGCACATTACTGATCAGTTAATTTTTATTTAACAAGGAATTCACCTTGCAAACAGGGTTCATCTTTCTTGGATGACCTGTGAGATAGAAGGCAGATGGTTTTAGAGCTGTCTTTTTTGGTGGGAGGGGTGGGTGTCCTATCTCCAAGAGATATGTAGAGCAGCATCCTTTATAGCAAAATGAGTTGGGTAAAGTTGGGTATGAATGTTATAAATAAAAAAAAAAAAAATTGTAAATATTTATGAACCTATTTACATTTTATTTTGCATATATGTACACATGGGCACCTTGAGCAAGCTTGTCTCGCAAGAACAATTACGACATTGCAGTGAGTTTGATCCTCACTGGGTGTCCCATCCTTTAGGCCTTGTGCCACATCTAAGCTGCACTTTGAAAAGCACCATATATCTACACAAGATTTGAGATTTTCATGACTCATTTTTATGTAACAATAGAAAAAAAAATGGAAGAATAAAAAATAGGGGAAGGGAGGCAACTCTTTCCGACCAAATAGTTGAGAAATTAACTCCCTCTCTCTCAAATCGTGCCAGTTTCAATAAATTCTCCTGATTCTTTCTCTCCAGTATTTACAGGCATTCACTGCACCTGGCAGTTCCATTGATTCGCATCCTGTATCTTCACATAATTGTTGCATGTCCGTTTTGAAAGGGTGACCTACATTCGTGCGTCTATGTTTCAAAGAAGCTGATCAGCTCCTTATTCTGCCAGGAATGTGCAATAAATTGTGTTCTTTCTTGGATGACTTGGGAGGTAGATGGCTGTAGAACTGTATTCTTTGTAGCACCCTTGCATATTCCATATCTAATTTCTTTTCTGCTGCTTTTGCTAATGTCGATGATGTATTTTCATAGAATGCTACTAATGTGCCAATGCTTGGAAGAAATATTTTTTTCCCATGCTGACAGATAAATTTGATTTTCAAATTATCTATAGCCTCTCCATGCCAAATGAATAAAGTAACTGGTCGACACATTTTAGCTGATTATCAGACAGGGTTGATAGAACCTTGTACCATGTACTTTTTCTATTTGCACCTTGTACTATGAACTTTTTCTATTTGTGCACAAGTGAATTGAGTTTGTTAGATTCACTTAAGCACAAATACCCTTGAGAAAGGTATGAATCCATCTCTTCTCCCTCAGACTAGGTTCTTTAGCCTTGAATGATAATCAGTCTACAGCAGAAAGAAATGGCAAACTACTGCGGGGGGGACTACCTCATTAGTCATGAATTGAAAGATACATGATCGCCCAAGTGTGTATCATGTGTGGCACTTAATTAACTGACTGACTATTTCTAAAGGGAGAGATGCTGAAAAGTTCATGGCCTAAAACCACTAATAATAATAATAATTTTTTTTTCATGGCTACAGGTGTAATTTTCTTACAATGCTCTGCCCTTTGACTGTCGTCCATTTGAGTGAAAATTTAAAAATATATCTTTTAGCGGCTAATAGGTTGAGAGATGACCGGAAATGTTTAACTTTTAAATTCTCTTGCTTCTACCCCTCTGTTTAATGAATTCTTTGATATTCCCCCTACCAATCTGTAGTATAAGTCCAGCCTACCCCATAAAATTTGATAACTATCTGTCATTGGCGACGGAAAATTGAACATTTTTTCAACGATGAAGTCACTTGTGCCATGCTCCGAACATGTAAGAAATGGTAAATGTACCATTTTTCAATGATACTTTTCCTGTAGTTTGATATGATTCTAAATCCTTTTGACTCAAGTTAATTCTTTCCTTTTCAGTTCCCTTCTCTCTCTTTTTTTTTTTTTTTTTTTTTAAAAACTCTATATACTAAAATCTGATATTCCCCCTTGGAGTGGTCACTCGGATTTATACTAAGTTAAAACTTAGTATAGTCTATCTCACTGAACACCATAAACTATTATTTTACCTTCGAAATATTAATAAATCCACACTGTAACCAATCTCTTTGGTTGGGCGTGCTCTTGGATCTTCTTCGAGACTCGTCCTAAAGCTGGTAACCTGAACATAATTACCCCTTGGCGGTCAAGGTTAAAATGCATCTCTACCAATTTCAATGAATACGAATAAAATTTCACACCGGATCGGCCGTCACCCGAGACAACAAGGGCCACGTACCTCAGAGAGGAACCAGTCTGAGGACGAAAAATCTGTCACTGGAACAAACTCTTCCACACACGAAGAGACACTAGGTCACCAAACCCGGATTACTGCCAACCTTGGACCAAGTGACTCAATACCAAATCGACTAATAAAAAGTAAACAAACGAAATGGAGCCGTGAAGAGTATCGACAAGTTAAGACATCCTTCTTCACTGCACTCGAAAACCAAGCAAAGAACACCACCAGACAAACTTACCAAATATGGAGAAGTATGGTGGGAAATGATATAAGACCTAACCTCAATCCAAACATGCTTGCCAATGTCCGTAGGGACATCATGCAAAACAACAGACTCTCAAAGGCAGAAATAGATAAGATAAAATTAGATCTCCCAGGAAATGAAATCCAAGACTCTACCTTAAACACAACCTGCAGTTTTCCAGAAAATGTACCTGGAGTCATCTTCAGTGACAATAAGTTAGAATTCCTTGAAAACTACGAAGCTGAAATCACCAAAGCAAAAAATGACATCATTCAAGTACTCAGCAGAGTAACTTTCATACAATTGTCAGACAGAGACCAGCTCCCCAAAATCCATATGACGAATTCCAACAAGCACATCGTGAAAATATACAACGCTGCTCTGGAAACACTGTTAACAGATAAACCACCAGGAAACATCACAGAAGTTAACAACGTCATATATGCAACAGCTACTGAAGGTATTACATACCTCATACCAAAAACAACTGAAACAGACGAGCCGAAAAATTATAGATCGATAACTTGTCTCTCCACAACGTATAAGTTGATCACGTCTGTACTCACGAACTGCACTTATTCCTTTTTCAAAACAAACAGCATTCTTCCGCTGGAACAGAAGGGATGCAGAAGAGGTTCATATGGCTGCAAAGATCAACTGCTGATAAATAAAATGATCCTGGAAAATTGCAGGAGACTACATAGAAATCTTAGTGCAGCGTGGATTGATTATCGTAAAGCCTTTGATAGTGTTCCACATTCTTGGATCCTTAAGACTTTGGAAATGTACAAAGTCTCCCCTGTGGTATTGAATTTCCTTAAGCACAGCATGGGAATGTGGAACACCAAACTATACCTTAGTCTCACCGGGGGGAACTGCCATATCCAACTGTCTGAATATCCGACGTGGAATCTTTCAAGGAGACTCTCTGTCACCCCTTCTGTTTTGTTTATCCTTAATCCCTCTTACACATAAACTGAACAACAGTAGCTGTGGTTACAAAATAAATAAGAAAATATTCAATCACCTACTCTACATGGATGATCTCAAACTCTTTGCCAAAGCCGACAATGAGTTGAAGGGCCTCCTCAATATTGCAAAATACTTCAGTGACGACATAGGTATGGACTTCGGATGAGATAAATGTGCAAAAGTAACATTCAAGAAAGGTAGAATTACAGAAACACCCTTAATAGATTTAGATTTTGTCACAAAGATTAGGGAACTGGAGCATGATGAAGCTCCGAGGAATTAGCGAAGATGGCATACAACACCCTTAAATGAAAGAAAAAATAAGAAAAGAGTACTACAGGCGTGTACGTCTGGTACTAAATACTGAGCTAAACTCAAAAAACAGGATATCAGCCATAAACACATTGGCTGTTCCTGTGGTGCAATACAGCTTTAATGTCCTTAACTGGACCATAGCTGAAATTAAGCGAATGGACACCAAAACGAGAAAGCTTCACACTTGCTACCGCATGCATCATCCCAAAGCTGATGTTGATCGTCTGTATGTGCCCATATCCGAAGGAGGCAGAGGATTAGTTCAACTAGAACTATCCTACAAAACTACAACAATTGGCCTCCAAAGATACTTGGAAACTACAGAAGACTGGATGATGGTATGCGTCAAGGAACATGAAAGTAGTAAGCGTCTTTACTCCGTAATAAAAGAAGCCAACAAATTCAAAATGGAATTCCAAATGGGCGTAGAGATGCAACTACAGCACAATACACTGGCTGAAACTGCAAAATACTTAAAAAAGACAGCAAAGACGAATGCAACCGACCAGATAGAGAAGCGATGGCAAGATAAACCGGTTCATGGCCAATACTCTGCCCGTACCAAACAAGCTGACGTAGACAAAACCTGTACCCATCAGTGGCTACGTAGTGCAGGGTTGAAAGCGGAAATTGAAGGTTTTATCCTTGCTGCACAAGACCAATTATCAAGGAATTATCAAGCACATGTACTAAAATATTCTGTGATAAATATCCAGAAACGATTGATCATCTTGTGTCGCGTTACACGACATTGGCACCCACTGAATATAAAACCCGGCATGACAGAGTGGGCCAATATCTGCACTGGAAAATCTGCAACTTCTACAGGAAGGAAACTGAAAGAAAATAGTATGAACACCACTCAGACCCGGTTACGGAGATAGGAACTGTTACAATTCTATCGGACTACACAATACACACTGACAGAACAATCAAAGCCAACCGCCCAGATACTGTTATTAAAGACCACAAACAAAAAAGGTGCCTTCTTATTGATATGGCAGTCCCTGCTGACTGCAATGTATCTTTGAAGATATTCAAAAAGTTGTCAAAATACAAGGACCTTGAAATAGAAATCTCGAAAATGTGGCATATGGGAACATCAACAATCCCTGTTTTAGTTGGAGCCCTAGGACTGGTTGGAAAAGATTGCAGTAGACTAATTGAAGGGATTCCTGGAAATCCATGCCTCAAGGAGATACAAAAAAATTGTTCTGACAAGTACAGCCCACACTTTACAAAGGGCTTTCTCTATGTAATTTTTTTTTTTTTTTTTTTTGTCAGTGGAAAGTATCATGATGCCATTTCTAACCTTAGGTCCCTGGGCAGGACCTGGAAAGAAATGTGTAAACGCCAGAAATCAAAGAAAATAAAAATAATAATAATAATAATAATAAAAATCAATATTCTGATGGTTGGTTATTGAAATACACATCTGAGTAAGTGTGTTGGGTCTTTCCCCCACCCCAAGCAGAAATCACTAAATGTGAAATAATATGAGAAAAAAGAAAAAAAAATATTATTAAGGAGAGAGAGAACTTTAAAAGAACAGGAATTAAGAAGACGGAAGATGACAACTGACACTGCAGTTAAGTTTTTGAAGATCAGAGTTGACTGGAAAGCAAGAAGCTGGAAGAGAGTTCCACAAGCGAGAAGTGCGAGTGAAGAAACTATTAGCATAAAACTTACAGTTATTATCTAACCATTTATTTCAACTGAATAAAGATGGGACCTTGTCACCAATCTAATATTGTGTTTAAATTCATAAAGTCTAGGTACCAAGGAGAAAAGCTCAGAACAATTACCATGAAAACATTTACAGAAAAGGCACAGGAAAGTTATGTTACAGCAGTGGAAAAGTGACTGAAACTACTCCACTATTTTTCCCCAAGTCATGACATTTCACAGATAATAAAGAAAAGAAATCTGTGGAGAATGCAACTGGAAACTACTCCACTTTCTCAGGAAGTCAAAATTCCAAAATAAGGTAAGGTTTTTCTGTGGTGAGTCATGAATTCCCCCACCCCACAAAAAAGAAAAAAAAAAACAAACATACAGTCATATACAGAATTCAGGACAATGCCATATAATGGGTAAGAATACAAGGTACAGTTATCAACAAAGATGAAAAAACATTTTTCTCAAAAATTCAAAGAATACCTGTAAATTTAAAAAAAGTTTTGTTTTTTATTTTTTTTTTTTTAAAAAAAAATGTTTTACTAAGTTTGACTTACTTGAAATTTCTTTTCTCCATCCTTTATGTTTCCGATGGCAGGTGGAGTGAATAGATTATGTCGCATTGTCCTCTGTGAAAAGCAAATATATTCAAGTGTTATTCTGAGCCTGGTAAAGGTCACCATGAAATTTCTATGCCTAAGTAAGTGGCAAAATCAATAAAACTGTTGAAATCTCTTCAGAATATCTTTTACAAGAATTCTTTGAATTGTAAATTAATTCCTTTCTTATAACACACAATGTTTTGTTTTTTTATACTAGTGTCAACTTTGTGAATTTGTTAAAAAAAATAAAAGAATAATTTTTTGGGGGGAGGAACCTATTTTAACTAAAATTTACAGGTTATTTTTTTCTTCTTTTAACTAGTATTTAACATGTAAATATTTTGATTAATTTATTTTTAAGCAATTTTAGTTAAATGTTATTTCTCTGAGTTTTTAAACGGAATTTTAGAGTTTCAATCAATATCACAAATTATCCATACTGTATTTTAAGATTTTTTTTTTTTTTGTAAATAGTCTGTCATTTTACTCACTATTGTATACGTTTTGTTAAGTGTAGTTAGAAAAATAAGAATAAAAAGGAAAGTTATAAAAAGAGAAAGACCAAACAAATAAGATAGAATACAGAATTTGAAAGGGGAGGAAGAGAAAGAATAGTCGTAAGACGAGCCAATATAATAAATCGTTTTTATTTTAATAATGTGTATATATATATATATATATATATATATATATATATATATATATATATATATATTCATTGGTTTGTTTTCTTAGCTTCTTCCAAAAACACTGTCTTGGCCACATGTAGGAAGATCAGTACAACCAAGCATACCCGATCTATGACATCGAATAGTCCAAGTGAAGTCTTGATTAGTTGCCGTTTTCTAGAGGAATTTAAATAAAGCATGTCCTAAAGCTAGTAGAAAATTTTTTATTCTGTGTGCGGGCCGAATACTGATCAGATTCGGTTAGGTCGCCCATCGAAGAAGTCTGTTGTTTATTTAGACCCGAAACTTCTAGTGACATGGGAGCAACAACACTGACGACACACCTAGATTCGGCACTTAAAGGTGTATTTTTATAAAAAAAAAAAGAAGAAAATTGCAGTATACAAGAACAGTACTGGTCAAAAATTGTATCCCCAAGATCTGTCCACTTTCTCTTAGCCTAGATTAGGCTCCCTGTGAATCAAATAGGGATATGCATTATGCACAGGTCATTTTTTACTTTAAATAAGTTAAAAATCATGCATTTTTGGTGATCGATTGCACTATACACAGGTAAATGTTTTTTGGAGGGGTTAAAATTCATATCAAAAAGTTCCAGAGTTGCACTATCCATAAAATCAGCTTATACACAAGTATATATGTGTTATACTAGAACATTACCTATTCTATTGTAATAGACTCTCCCACACATAATAAGTAGTAGTAGTAGCGGTCGCCAGTTGGGCTCAGTGGAGTTGAGTGAGTCAGTCGATGTCGGACATTGAAGTATCAACCATCACAACTAGATTGCTGTGTCATTAATTATTATTGCAAGTTCCTAATGTTTTGTATGTCGGACCCATTTTAGGACCGACTTATTGAAATACAAGCCTCCACTGTGAAAACTACTTTACAACAATATGATATCTACTCGAACATATGTATTCGATAAATACAACATAAGTAAAAAGAAATAACATTAGATTACAAATACCACGGTCAGTGGAACTGGATCATATATATAGAATATATATAGTAATAATAACAAAGATTGTATTTGGGAAAAAAAATTATTGGAGGATAATGCTTTTAAGGCAAGCAGTCTTTGTAAGTGAAGTACTCAATATTAAGAAATAGATCAATAGTAAACAAATGAAATAAAAATTTCAAAACCTTATTTTCCCCACTTCAAGTCTTGCAGATTTTATCCACTTCCCAATGATAATGATAATATTAGCAATTTTCTTAAAAGCAAACATTCGGCATTCATTGGCCAAGCAGATAGTGCTACTGTCGGTTGAAATTCATAAAATCTTTCTCTTAAAAGAGTTTTTCAGGAAAATAGGCTTATCAAGACCACTAACTATCACTCTTTCCAAATAGGATATTTCCTTCTTAACCTTTTGTTTAAGGTAGTGTGGAACGTCAACATCTTTATTATAACATTATTTTACCTTCCAGTTATGAGTGCTACCAGTTTCATTGTTGCTGCTGTTAAAAGTGTTCAAGTGATAGATAGATAGATAGATAGATGGTAATGTTGAAACTAGGCTTTTCCATATGGCAAACATTCAGCATTCATTGACCAAACAGATAGAATTACCGTCAGTTGAAATTCATAAAATCTTTCTCTTAAAAGATTTTCAGGAAAATAGCTTTCTCAAGTCCAGTAACTGTTATTGCTCTTTCTAGTATTTATGTGTTTGTTTATCCGAATTTGCTCTTGTATATCGACCCCAATTCTTGCCTTATTACTGTTGTTTTGCCTTATTACTGATAATTTGCCTTGCATATATTGCTTGCTTGCTTTGTTTTCTTTTCCTTGTAATTGTTTATTGTAAACTTTGTCAATTCTGTTTGTTGGTCAGTCCTGCCATTTATTTATTTATAATTAAAAATGGCCACTCACTCTACAACATCAGATGGCAAGAAGAGGGGAAAAGAAGATGTGTACAAGGGAGGGGTGATAGTAAGAAAGAGAGAGAAAAATGAAAAGAAAAGCAGTCAAAAGCAATAAGGAGAAGGACAGGAAGACAAAAGAAAGGCAGACAAATAGGCTTGTCGTGAGTTTCAACTGCTCCTTTACCCCTTGATAATTCAAAATGACCTTAGTTCAGCCTTTTAAATGTAAGTAACTCACCTGCAACAGCATGTAATATCTGTCTTTAAACAATTTGCATTTATCAAAAGGGTTGCCATGAAGAAGAGGGGCAGGTAGAGCCATATTGCTGTTTCTAAAACAGAGGAAAAAGCAAATAATTTCAAAAGGAGCTGTAAGCATGATGACACCTATATATATATATATATATATTTTTGAATAAAAAACAGACCACGTTAAGATTCCATGTGATAAGCTATTTCACCATAACCCCTTTAACAGGGTTCTGGATCATCAGACTTTACTTCCAAAAGCTGAAATGAAAAATGAAAAGAAATTCACACGTTTTTGACGGAGATCATCATATATATATATATATATATATATATATATATATATACACACACACAGGAAAGATGTTTTTTCATTTACTAACAATTTTTATTTACTAGAAGTGGATGCTGTACATAGCAATGATCTTTATATATATATATATATATATATATATATATATATATATATTAGATAAGAATATGAATGATTGATTGATTTTTTTTGTGATTCCTGGACTTTTGTGCCTGCAAAAAAAGAAATGTTAAAAGGACAGTTTTTGCCTTGACACCACTATTACTTTAACTACCTTCACTCCTTGACAATCTTTGTTTTAAAAAGTGATGACTAGAATTCTAATAAAATCAAAACATGATGAAAATGAATTTATAGATTTTTTTTTGATTTTGATCACTGACAACAAAAATAATATTATTTATTTATTAGATTTTTTATTTACACGAGTAAATTCTAAATACTAACATAATTAAAACTGATGCAATGCAATATTTATCATTTACCAATTTATAAATAAATAATTATGAAAATAATTTTTTGTTCATAAATTTATAAACATTTACAAAATTATTAAAATATGTTAACTATAACGAATTTCTTTTTGAATCAATTAGCAGTTAGATGATGATTTGCCAACCATTTCAATAAACAATCTAATAGTGTTTATTATTTTTGTTGTCAATTCTCTAGAAAAAAGAATCTATAAATTCACTTTCATATGTTTAGGTTTTATTAAAATTCTAAGCATCGCTTTTTAAAACTATAAACATTGCTGAGGAGTGAAGTTAGTTAAAATAATAGTGGTGACATGGGAAAAACAATCTTTTTGACACTTTTTTTTTTTTAGCCACGAAGGTTCAAGATTGCTGATTTTTTTTTTTTCATGGTTCAAGTTTTGCAGGTTATTTAAAACCAGAAAAAATTTCTGGATTCTAAGAATTTTTTGGCTGTAATAATACATGGCATAGAGTAATGGATAGCCGCTCAGATTGAGGAATCAGAAAGCAGAGTTCGAATTCCAGTTGAATCCATTTCATTCACTTATGTGCTAATACTCTTGGGAACAGTATGAATCCATTCTCTTTCCCCCCAGCTATGGGTAAATAGCAGGACAGACCAGGTTGGATGGCAACTGGTCTACCAAAGAAAGAAATGGCAACCTAATGCGGGAAAAAAAAAATCTGCCTCGTCAGTCATATATCAAAAGATACATGATTGCCTAAGCGTGTATCATGCATGGCACATAACTGTGTGTGTGTGTGCGTGCACGTGTGTTGCTTTCCCTAAGGGTATTTGCATGTAACTTAATTTAACAAACAGGAGCGACATAGGAACTAGGCTCTCCGATTTCCAATTGCCAGCCATTACACCACCTGTACATCCAAGCTTACAGCACCTAGTATTCCCAAGTGGTCACCCATCTAGATACTGGCCAGGGTCAACATTGCTTAACTATCAAATGAGAACCAGTGCTTCAATGTGACATGGCCGTAAGCTTATAAGAATATAAGTAAATTTTTCATTCGTATATTTCATTTCTTTAGATTCCATCACTAAGGGAGTGTGTATGTGTGGATGTGTGTGTGTGAGAGAGCGAGAAATCATGTATGATCGATTAGTTTTTTATGGATTATCAGCCCTTTTGTGGGTTATTTAAAGCTGAAACACATTTTGGATTGTAAGAATGTTTCTTGGAGGTAATTTTTTTGAGAATAACAGTGATTTTTTCAGATACAAATCCTACACTTTAACCCATAGCTGGAGGGAGGAGATGGAGAGAAAAGAGAGTATACGTGAAAAATAGGGAGTGTCAGTGTGAGAGAGGGAGGGAGAGAAAGCATGTGATAAAGTGGGTGTGAGAAAGAGAGAGTGTGAGTGAGAAAAGGGTGTGTATGTGAAAAGTATGAGAGAGTAAGAGAGAGGGAAAGAGCATATCTGATAAAGTGTGTGTGAGAGAGAAAAGAGAGCATATGTGAAAAGCACAAGTGTCAGTAAGAGAGCATGTAATAAAGTGTGTGTGAGATAGAAAGAGTGAGAGAAAAGGGTGCATATGCAACAAAGTATGAGTGTCAGTAAAAGAGAGAGCATATCTGATAGTGAGAAAGAAAAAGAAAAAAAGAAAAGCTATATGAAAAGTATGAGTAAGTGAGAGAGAGAGAGAGCATGTGATAAAGTGTATGTGTGAGAGAGAGAGAAAAGAGTGTGTCAGCAAAAAAGAATGAGAGCATCAGTAAGAGGGAAGGCATGTGATAAATTGTGTGAGAGGGTATTTGAATGTGAAAAAGAGAGGTGTGTATGTGTGTAAAAGGGGGGAATATATGAAAATGAGAGAGAGAGATGAAAGTTCTTTTATACATCAGCTTTCTTTAGAACTTGTTATTGCACTTCCCATTATTGATGGGGGGGTTTCCTTCCTTGCCTTTTGTTTGAGGTGCTCTGGAAAATCAAAGCATTTTAATGCGGTCTTTCAAATCAATGAAATCTAAAAATTATATTGCGGCATTCAGAAAGTAATTATATTTTACAAGAAAGAATACGAAAAAAACAAATGTAAGTTAAATTTATTTAAATGTTAGGGTGTTCTTGTTCTGCTGACCATGTGATGGGATATGCCACCTAAGTACTGCTTGTCCTGTTTCGATTGAGTTTAAGTCTACATTAACAAGTCTAATGGGAAAATAAATGTAAATATTGGTCCATGAATTGTGAGTTCAATCCTTGTTCTGAGCAGTTCAGACTCAGTGAAAACAAAGCAAGTAGTAACTGAACAGTCGACCATAGTCGGGATCATTGAATCAGTATCTTTCTATATTTCTGAGATGAGGTATTATGTACATTATTTGAACTATTATCCTCATCTTTGTCACCATATTTATTACAACGTTTTGGTCCTTCAGCATCTGTCTATATTTCTGAGATGAGGTATTATGTACATTATTTACATTATTCAGACTATTATCCTCATCTTTGTCACCATATTTATTACAATGTTTTGGCCCTTCAGCATCTGTCTATATTTCTGAGATGAGGTATTATGTACATTATTTACATTATTCTGACTATTATCCTCATCTTTGTTGCCATATTTATTACAACATTTCAGCTGTTGTACGCTCCGGCCTTCTTCAGGTGGTTGGAATGTCCTGTTACTGGATATAACCAACGCCTTTATTCACTGTGCCATATGTCCTTGAGGACCCAAAGAGTGTGAGTTCAATACCTGGTTAAGGCAGTAGAGAACTTTTAGAGGGAAATTAACAGGAGATAACTGATAACTGACATCCATTAAACATGGCACGTGGAACTAGAACGGTCTACTCCAGTGAGCGAAATAAAGGGTTCAGTTCGACATTCCAACCACCTGAAGAAGGCCGGAGTGTACAATGGCCAAAACGTAATAAATATGGTGACAAAGATGAGGACAATAGTCCGAATAATGTAAATAATGTATCATTGAATCAATGTTAACAATCCTTTCCTTAGCTGCACAGCATGTGCTTCACAAGGGCTACATACCATTTTGAATTCAGAGTTTTCCTTTTCCTAGTCTGGCTGCTATCCGAAGCTATAGAATCCAGTCTGTCCTGTTATTTAGCATGTATGTGAATGTAATGAACCTAACGGAATTAGAACTCTGCTCTGCAATTAACAATTCCGAGTCATAAACAATTACACTTACTGCATATCCAAGCTAACAGCACCTAGTATTCCCAAACAGTGACCCATCTAGGTATAACCAGACTCAATGTTGCTTAACTTTGATGATCATATGAGAACCGGTGTTTCAATGTGAGGTGGCCATAAGCCTGGTTGATTTGAGATATTATTATGTAAAAATTCTCTCTCATTAATGAGACTAGATTATTGTCTTCATCTTTGTTACTAACTAAATTTGAACTCAGCTCTCTGATTCCTCAATCCAAGCTGCAATACATTACTCTATCGTGCATCCTACTGAAAAGTACCAAAAGAAAATTGGTGACATAGTAATTGCCAGTTCAATCCCTGGCAAAAGAGGTGAGAAAAAAAATTTACTTACAAGATAAATTTCTTCCTTTCCTCGCTGTATGTGTATCTGGGCACTGAGAAAGCGTCAATAACACAAAAGGCATTCTCTCTATAAAAGAAAAATTTGAATAAAAATGTAATAATACAACTGAAAGACTATAAAAATTTAATCTATTTTTCAGCTAGCAGAATTTCTGAATAGATCAAGAAAAGTTCAAGTGACTTATCTGGTTAGCCGATTTAAGAGTTTCAATATTGAATAAAACAAGAATAGTTCAAATGACTTATCTGGTTAGCCAATTCAAGAGTTTCAATATTCAATATTGAATAAAACAAGAATAGTTCAAATGACTTATTTGGTTAACCCATTTAAGAGTTTCAATATTCAATATTGAATAAAACAAGAATAGTTCAAGTGACTTATAAACATGTAGTACAGACTCAGAGACAGGTGTGGTAAGAGGAAAAGCAATAACTGAGATGTACTAAAACAACAACAAAAAAAGCAAGATGTAATATCCCTAGACATAGGCAATAGAAGGAGAACAATTTCCCACCATAGATTCAATAAAGGCTTAATTTTGAAATTTCCTTAGTTACCCAGATCAACAGACATCAGATAGATGGCTGGAAGGCACAAAGGCAGAAATATTATCCTAACAACAAAAAAGATGAAGACTTCTTTAAAATCTTTTCACCTCAAGCCAGGTGACAAAGCCACTAACACACATGGGGTTGTAGAACCCAAATTCTACATTATTCCAATACCCAAAATAGTTGGGTCAAATCTGTGCAAAAAGTGGATCACAGAACAATTTCAACTTCATACACCTTCAAAAAAAATCTCAAGCCCTCATTGGTTAATAAATATACAAGTAGGCGTGATTATCCACCCACGCTTAACTAATTTTTACAACTCGTGACTGAAATCCAAGTTCGCACCAAGTCTCTGTGAGCCACCCAAAGCAAATAAAGACAGAAACTTGTTCGTATGAACATTATACAACTTAACAATATTGACACTCACTCATCAAAACTTATCGGTGAACTTTATTAACTCACCAAATTCCTTTACACAGAAGTTAAACAAATTCCTGCTAACAAATCAACATATTTCTTCTACATTCGAGAACATTGTATTACACAAAACTATCAAAGGTAGATAACTTCTTTGATCACAAATTGCATTCAACTTTACAAACATTTACTACTTACATGAACAGTAAATTTTTCTCTTTCAATTTATGGAATCTTCAATAACAGATTTTAACAAACAAATTAGAACTCATTAACAAAATTTAATTTTTCACCAAACTTGACTTCAACATAAATTAAACGAACAAGATTTCACCTAAAAAAAAATCGACTATATTTTTGTAAAATATTTTCATTACAAAAATACATTGAAAATTACTTGTTATTCAAATATTTGTCTTTTATCACAAATGTTTCTTGTTGTTTCCTCTTGTTGTTTTTGTATTTTGCTTAACATATTCGTAGAGTAAAAAAAATTGTATGGATTGATTTGAACTGTAAACACCATTAAATATGGTAACCACCAAACTTTCCACTACAGGGTTACTAAGCATAAAAGTATCTTGAAAGAAAAAAAAAAAATCAATCCTAATGAAAGAGGTTGATAAAAGAAATTAATACAGAACTGACGTTGCATTCATATTTTTAAAGATCAAAGTTAGCTGGGAAGCAAGAAGCTGGAAGAGAGTTTCACAAGCGAGAAGAGCGAGAGAAGCAACTGTTAGCATAGAAACTTATGGTTACATCCAGCCATTTTAACTGTAAAATGAGACCTAACTGTCAATCAAGTACTGCTCTTAAAGTCATAAAGTTGAGGTATAAATGAGAAAAGCTCATCAGAATAATTACCATGAAAATATTTATAGAAAAAGCACAGGAAGGTTGCATTAGGACGATGGGAAATTGACTGAAGATGCCAAATCTGGACTGATAACATTGCAGATTCTCTGAATTTTATCAAGAATGAAACCATATAATAATTATCAATGTATATTTATTTATATATTTCCTGTCTCAACTGTAGTAGTGGAAAAGGAGGTAAATCAACTTTCATTAGTAAGTTCATGAGTTGTTTTAATAATCTATACAAATAAAATATTTATCTGCATTTAGACAAAATTAGTTACTGAGCAAAATAAACAATTTAATTAATCAGTTCCTTTACTCCTACACTTCCAAGAATGCAGTTTTATTTGTTCAAGACTTTCATGTGAGGCACTCTGATACCTTTATCTAATAAATTTGATCTTGTAATATGCTTTGTCTTTGTTGTTCTGTTGCTAATCTTTTTCTTTTGAGAGATATTTCTATTTCACAGTTTTATTAAACACATACAATTTTTAACATGAAAAGATATTGACAAGAAGTGATCTATGTAATACCAGGACTAATCAATGAATCAAGGATACCATTGAAAGTCTAAAACTTCTAAAGCAAACAAATTCATTAAATGGTTCATTGGACTCTATTTTAAATAGAGTTGTGAATACTTTATCTCTGCTTTAGTAAATCTCAATAGATTCTTTTGAGGCATTTGTTTCCTTGGATTCACTATTAAAATCTTCTAACAATTGCCGTCATTTCTGATGGCACAAGTACACTAGTCTCTAAATAAATAAATAGATGGAAGAAAAGATATAGTGATTTTCCAAGCATAGCTTAGATGCGGCACAAGGCCAAAATTAGGATGGCACCCAGTGAGAATCGAACTCACTACTCAGTCGTAATTGTTCTAGTGAGACAAGCTTGCTAACCATTACACCACCTCAAGGTGCCCAGATGGAAGAAAAGATATATCAAAGATGCTGTTTGGTTTTAGGGAAAGACAATGAAAGACAGACAGAATGAAAGCATGAAAAAGAAAAAAATGACGAAAGAAAAGAAGACAGTATTTACATTAGTCAGACTATTGTCCTCATCTTTGTCGCCATATTTGTCACAACGTTTGCCGTTGTACGCTCTGGCCTTCTTCAGGTGGTTGGAATTTCAACTGAACCCTTTATTTCGATCACTGGGGTAGACTGTTCTAGTTCCACGTGCCATGTTTGATGGATGTCAGCTATCAATTATCTCCTGCTAATTTTCCCTCTGAAAGTTCTCCACTGCCTTAACCAGGTATTGAACTCACCTTCTTTGGGTCTGTCACTGGATCTAACCAACGCCTTTATCCATTGTGCCATGTGTACATGGCACAGTGGATAAAGGGTTCAGTTCGAAATTCCAACCACCTGAAAAAGGCCGGAGCGTACAACGGCCAAAACGTTGTGACAAATATGGCAACAAAGATGAGGTCAATAGTCCGACTAATGTAAATACTGTACATAATACCTCATCTCAGAAATATAGACAGACTCAGAAAAGAAGACACAATGAAGGCAAGAAAGTATGAAAGAAAGAAAGTATTAAATTGCAAACAATATAAACTAGTGTAAGATGTATAATATTGTGGTTAATTAATTAATAACTAGAAATAGCCATGAAAATTTCAGTTTTTCTATTTTGATTTTTTTGTGAAGAATCTTCATTCATTTAGTTTGGTTTATGGCATATCAACCTTAATGGGTTATTTAATGCCGACAAAATTTTTATTGCTGGTAATATTTTTTATCTATTTACCTATCTCAGTATATATTGGTTTGGTTTACGGCATATCAACCTCAATGGGTTATTTAATGCCGACAAGATTTTTATTGCTGGAAATATTTTTTATCTATCTATCACAGTATATATTGGTTTGGTTTACGGCATATCAACCTCAATGGGTTATTTAATGCCAACAAAATTTTTATTGCTGGTAATATATTTTTTCCAAAAATATATTGCTGGGATTATTTTTTTTTCTAATAGGTATAGCAGGAAATATCTCCCCCCCCCAAAAAAAATGTAGAGCTAGTAATATCTTTTGTTTTCAAAAATGTATTGCTGGTAATAATTTTTTTACAAAGTATTTCTGGTATTAAAACCTATTTTTACATTTTCATAGTGTTTAAACTCCAGTTTGGGGATTAACTATTTGCCCAGAGCAGGGACCCTAACAGAGTGAACCTGGGAACACTAGCAATTAAGAGGTGGTTCCACACTACTCAAAACTTCCTGATCAGAGGCCTTGCTACCAGATGTAGTTTATCGTCATACCCAGGACGTGAATGTAGTTTATCATCATACCCAAGACGCGAATATAGTTTATCGTCATACCCAAGATGCGAATATAGTTTATCGTCATACCCAGGACGGAATCTTAATTTGTATGTCAAGGATTGAATAAGCTCCTCTTGAGTACCACAACTATAAACAACTCATAGAAATTCCCTGTCTCATTAAATATTTGAGCTCAACAACAAAATATTAGAATAACAATCATAGATATGAGTGCAGGTCATTATTTAAAGAAAGAAACTATAAAACTGACAATGTTTTCCATTTCACTGAAACAGACACTAAACACATGAGAGTGTTATCCCCTCATCTATCTTTCCTTTCTTTTCCCTTAAACCAAACAGAACCTTTAATAATTCTTTTTTCCACCTATTTTCTCAATCAAAGCGGAATGGTCCATTGTTTATCTGAGGTAATGGCAGGGCATAATGTACGCGCTAAGAAATGAAGGAACAAGCAGAGTTGTATATACTAAGATAGCTGTTTGCAATTATTCTACAAGTCATTTCCATTTTTATCATATAGTGCTGTATAAGATGACTTTGTATTTAGTGCAGAATTCGATGTGCCAATGCTCTGCAGGAACCTGTCTTCAACTAAGTTCATGGGGGTACAATTGGCCACTTGGGCCTTTCATACCTGAAAAAGTGAGACAAAAGTCTTGATATATTATTGGTCCTAAAAAATATATAGCAGCAATACAAGACCATATGCGGCAACAATATTCAAATGGATGAATGGTAGACTTATAGATAGGTAAGATAAATTTTGGAGAGAAAAATTGTCTAGCATGACACAGTGAACCAATTTTCTTATCAGTAGACCCAGCAATGGATTCAATATAGTCTTTCCACTTCATATCAGCTGAGAATGTTAGCCCAAGATGGCATGTCGCCCTCCTGGAGGTTAGCATCAGCCATGCTGATGGAAGGTAGAAAGGGTTCCCTCAGATGATTAATAGAGAGAATTTTTTTTGTTTTGAAGGTGTTAAAATTAACAAGCCATTCCTTTCCTCAGTTAACAACAGACTGTAGTTCATTTTTTATAATCAGCTGCCAATTTGACCATAACGAACTGATCAGACTTACTATTGAGACAGGAGTAAATGGTTGTATCATCAGCATAAATCAGTCAGTCAGTTATGTGCCATGTGTGATACATGCTTAGGTGCTCACGTATCTTTCAATACATGACTGATGAGGCAGATTTTTTTCTTCCTGCAGTAGGTTGCCATTTCTTTCTGCGGGAGACCAGTTGCCATCCAAGGCTATAGAACCCGGTCTGTCCTGCTATTTGCACATAAGAGGATTCATACCTTTTCTGCACTAGATTGCCATTTCTTTCTGCGGTAGACCAGTTGCCATCCAAGGCTATAGAACCCAGTCTATCCTGCTATGATGAAAATTAAGAACAAAGTAGGATAGAGCCCAGGGGTGACACCTGCATTAGGTCATTTTCTTCCTTAATTTTCATATAATTTGTCCACTCTGATCTTGAAGCTGTTTTAATCAGTTTTGCTTAAGTCTTCCCCAGATCAATGTGGATGGGGGGAAACTGTCAGAATGAGACCCCACCCCATCCAGCATAAGGAGAAGCCCAAAGTGGAGTTGTGTTATATTTATGTTGTTATGTATTGAATATTATAGTTGTAACAGTGTTACAGAGACAGAGGAAAAAAAATAAAATAAAATGAAAGCCATAAATTGTCCTTTAACAAACCCATCATTTTCTGTTCCTGCATTACATTCCTGGACAATATTTGCACAAAGAGCTCGGTCAATCAGAGAAGAAGACACTGTAAAAAAGAAAACCAGAAAAATTATTAAGTAAAAGAGTTTGGATGAAACATGCTAGCATATTTCTAGTTAAAAAAATGTAGAATACAGAGGAAGAAAAGGAGAAAGAGGGAAAGAAAAAAAAGGAGGAGGAAAAGTAGAAAAAAAGAGTAGGAGGAGGAAAAACGATAAAAGGAGGATCAGGAAAGAAGTCGGAAATGAAAGTGGAGGAGGAAAAGACATTGAAAAAGGAGGAAGAAAAGATGACGAAAGAGAAAGAAGAAAAGATGACGAAAGAGAAAGAAGAAAAGATGAAGGAGGAGGAGGAGGAAAAGACGACGAAGGAGGAGGAGGAGGAAAAGACGACGAAAGAGGAGGAGGAGGAAAAGACGACGAAAGAGGAGGAGGAGGAAAAGACGACGAAAGAGGAGGAGGGAGGACGACGAAAAGGAGGAGGAGGAAAAGATGACGGAGGAGGAGGAGGAAAGACGACGAAAGAGGAGGAGGAGGAAAAGACGACGAAAGAGAAGGAGGAGGAGGGGGTAAAGAAGACGAAAGAGAAGGAGGAGGGGGTAAAGAAGACGAAAAAGGAGGAGGAGGTAAAGAAGACGAAAAAGGAGGAGGAGGTAAAGAAGACGAAAAAGGAGGAGGAGGTAAAGAAGACGAAAAAGGAGGAGGAGGTAAAGACGACGAAAAAGGAGGAGGAGGATGAAGAAAAGAAGACTTGCTTTGAATATTTCTGCCATATATGGTCTGGTGCTCCTATTATTTACTTAGATATTCTTGACAAAATCCAAAGATGAATCTGTAATGTTATTGGCCCTGATCTGGCATCTCAGCCTCAGTCACTTTCCTACCACCATAACAGATTCCTTGTGAGTCTTCTATAAATACTTTGATGGTAATGGTAATTGTTCTGATGAACTTGTAACCCCTCCACCCCAACAAACTTGTACAAATGGGTACTAGCAAGGACTTCATTGAGACACCGATGTATTATGATGGCTGGAGTAATGGTAGCTAAGAATGTGTTGTTTTCGTGTAAAGAATATTGTAATTTTTTTTTTTTTAAGCATTCTCAATTCTCACCAAGCAAAGCAGGAATGCCACTGGCTGAACGGGATTCAAGACATCTGAAGATGGCAATTGAAGTTGCATTTAAATTCTTTAAGATTGTAATTATCAGGGAAGCAAGTAAACGTGAGTTCCACAGGCAGGAAATTCAAGAAAAGAAGCTGCTGCAGTAGAAGTGGCAGTTACATTTAACTATTTCAATGGTAAAAGAAAATTGTGGGACCTAGATGCTAGTCTAGTAGCATGCTTAAATTTATGTAGTCGGTGCACCGGGGAAAAAAGATCAACAGAACAGGTGCCATGTAAATTTCTGGAAAAGGCAGAGGGAAGTCACAACAGAATGCAGCAGCCAGGTTGACTGTCACCGTTGCCGGATTTATTATTGAGACAGGAGTAAATGGTAGGGTCATCTGCATAGACGCCTACTTGGGAGCTGATGACATCAGGAACATCAGAAACAGTGTAGGACCCAGGATAGAGCTTTGAGGAAAACCCTCATTCATAAGAAAGGATCTGGAAGTGTGCCTGTTCCGAACGACCTTCATTTCACGATTTGAAAGGACTTAGAAAATTTGACACTAACAAGACATTGAAGGCAATTATTTTGAAACTACCCAGCCGAAGCCAGTTGAATAAAAATTTCTATGGAGAAAGGGAGACAATATTTATCAAGAGTTGCCGCCCTTGATCTAAGTTCAAATTTCATAAAACTGATCGATAAGATTTAATAGCAACTAAATACCAACCAGAAATCAAAGATCATGGTGCGCCAAGTATCTCATTAACTGCAGGGTTAATTAAAAATCCATACAGTATTCTTAATTTTCATATATCATTATTTTTATGAGTTTTTCTCCTGGGTATATCAACTGTATGAATTTAAGTGTACAACTAAATTGGCAACTAGGTCACATTGTTTTACTGTTGTACTAGCTAGATGTAAATTTAAGTTATATTCGAATAGTTTTTTTCTCACACTTCTTGTCCGTGGAGCTCTTTAGAATATCTTACTTCCCAACCACCTACAATCTTCAAAGATTTAAATGCAATATCAGTCATCATCTTCTGTCTTTATGATCCCTGTTCTTTTATTGTCCTTTCTCATAACTAAAGTCTTCTCATACTCTTTCATTCCCAGTAACCCCTAGCGTCCTTGTGACATTATTGCCCTGCTTGGAGTGAAATGATTTAAACAAATATAACAAAACAATTAAAATAGAAAAAGTAAGATTATTATATGTGTTATAGTTTTGTCTAATTGCAGGCAATCATGACAAGAAATATCATTTGCCAGAAAATTGGTTTCACTGAAAGCATTAACATATGATAATAATGAACTATCCCTACCTACCCATGTAATAATAATGAACTATCCCTACCTACCCATGTGATAATAATGAACTATCCCTACCTACCCATGTAATAATAATGAACTATCCCTACCTGCCCATGTGATAATAATGAACTATCCCTACCTACCCATGTAATAATAATGAACTATCCCTACCTACCCATGTAATAATAATGAACTATCCCTACCTACCCATTTTCAATACTAACCACTCTGTATAAAAGCCATCTAATGACTAACAGTTCAGTTTAGCAGAATAAAGCTTCTAAAGTTGATATTCAGTGTTTACTTATTACAAAATCAAATCTTCACTTTGTCAATTGTTTCATTTCAGCACAAAATCAAGTTAGAAAATTAAAGGGAGATAACTTTTATATTCGAACAGTGCTTTTTTTTAAATTATGTATCATTAAAAAATGTCATTTACAGTATCTTTTTTCCCCATCAATTCATAACAGAAATCTTCATTCACGTAATAACATTGCTTAATATTTTGTTTTTATTCTAGGAATATTTAAAAATGAATAAAAAGAATGTTGGAAAACAAACCCATCTCAATATTGGCCCAATCCAAAATACACTTGTAAATAAATTAAATATTTAAAAAAAAATTCTGTATTAATTCATATTACCCTTTTTTTATTTATATTTTATTTTTGTATCCAACAAAAAGACAATTTCCTGGCTTTATTTGATTTCAACATTAATTTTTTTATATTCAGTTGAGCTAGCTTGGACTATCACACCAACTATCATGGTCCTGCATTAAGGTCAGAAAATTATTAGGGTGCCATTCTGTGTCATAACATAGCTGGTGACCAGCCCATCTTGCTTCATGGCTATGTGTCCAGAGCAGTAGATCACTCATAAGTTCTTGTTTTGCTCACCAAGGGTCCAGCAAAGTGTATTCTGTGTTCATGTAAGATTATAGAAATATCAAGGACGGGTCCATAGAGCTATGGTTTAGTTGGATGTTGTCTCCAAGAAATGTTTATAGCTTTCAGCATCTGAGTGTGGGTTCCATCAAGCTTAGACTCCAAGGTTTTAATCAACGTCCAAGCAGTGGTACCATACATTAACACCACCTCTAAAGGTTGTCTAGCAGATCAGATTTCCAGATTACATCCATTTTATTCAATGTGGCTTAGGCTTTAGCTATACGAATTTTCACATTCTTTTCAGTATAATTTATTTTGCTTCCTTGGTATATAAAAGATTTAACAAATTTTATCAATTCAATAGAGACAGTTTGTATTGTTTGCCTATGAGTTCAGTTTTAGAGGCATTAACCATAGAATTCAACATTGTTGCCAGTATTTTCTACATAATTTAGAACTGTAGCATTGCTAATGGTGTCTACAGTGAGAGCAAGGTCATCTGCATAGGAAATAACCGTTAACTTTTTGCAGGAATAATCCTCTTAAAAGAAAAAAAATGACTTCTTGTTAATCATTCATTATCATAAATAAGCAACAATCAAATTAAAAGTTATCTCCCTTTAATTTTCTACATTTGGATTTTTCGAAGTTAACCATTTCGATGAAACCAGTTTTCGGGAACAAATGGTGTGTGTGTGTGTGTGTGTCTAAATGTTTACAGTAAGTAGCTCCAAAGACTAGCTAAAAAATGAGCATACATGATGAAAAAATGCCCCCAACAAAGTTTCATGATCAAAATCAGAAACAACTAAAAGATTTTTTTTATTATTAAATTATATTTTTAATCCATTTTAGAACCTTTTAAATTTTATTTTTCTTGCGTCAAAAGGTGACCATGAATTAGTATGCGAAATTTTAGCGTTTTTTTTTTTTTTGAAATTGGAAATTCTGGATTTTTTTTTTTTGATTTGGAAATTCTTTTAATATCGGATAATTGTAGGGTTTTAATCAAACTTCAGAACTTATTCACAAATGAATGAAATTATTTCAGAAATATATCTTTAGAAAATCTTTGTAAAAAAAATTTTTTTTTACATGTTACCACCTACATTTAATTCTAAGAAATTTATTTTTGTACAGCTAAATGTTGTTATATTGATGCTGTTCACGATTCTTTTGATTTTGTACAAATTACCAACACTTGCTGCTAAGAATGCTCTCCAAATGTTGATTTTTTTCTCATGTTTAACAGTGCCCTTGGTAGTCACTGGAGTATTTGTTTCACTGGGCATACACCAAACATGTATTCGTACTTCATATCTAAGAGTAAAGGGGCTCTCATCATTCCACATAACACCTTCCCAATCAGATTTAGTCCAGCGTAAATGAGCGCTGCACCATGCCAACTGTGACTGTTGAGTTTTTCTAGATATGAAAGATTTCTTTTTTATCTGTTTATATTTCTGAGACGAGGTATTATGTACACTATTTACATTATTCGGACTATTGTCCTAATCTTTATCGCCAAATTTATTACAACATTTCGGCCCTTCAGTATCTGTCTATATTTCTGAGATGAGGTATTATATACACTATTTACATTATTCAGACTATTGTCCTCATCTTTGTTGCCATATTTATTACATTTCGGCCCTTCAGTATCTGTCTATATTTCTGAGATGAGGTATTATGTACACTATTTACATTATTCAGACTATTGTCCTCATCTTTGTCGCCATATTTATTACAACATTTCGGCCCTTCAGTATCTGTCTATATTTCTGAGATGAGGTATTATGTACACTATTTACATTATTCAGACTATTGCCCTCATCTTTGTCACCATATTTATTACAACATTTCGGCCCTTCAGTATCTGTCTATATTTCTGAGATGAGGTACTATATACACTATTTACATTATTCAGACTATTGTCTTTATCTTTGTTGCCATATTTAATACAACATTTCGGCCGTTGTACCCTCCGGCCTTTTTCAGGGGGTTGGAATGTCAAACTGAACCCTTTATTTCACTCACTGGGGTAGACTGTTCTAGTTCCATGTGCCATGTTTAATGGATGTCAGTTATCAGTTATCTCCAGTTAATTCCCCACTCCAATTTCTCTACTGCCTTAACCAGGTATTGAACTCACACTCTTTGGGTGCTGTCACTGGATCTAACCAATGCCTTTATCCACTGTGCCATGTGTCCTTTTATGCATCTTTTATGTGTCTTTTTTATGTATTTGGAAACAATATCTTTTGCTTTAAGCTTTTGTCTGATTGTTCTTGAAGAAACTGCCAAACTAGCTGCTTTGGAAACATCTTGTGCTGTTGTGAATCGATCTGTTTTGCATTAACGAACCAAGTTTCTATCTTCCCTTTTGGTAGTTTTTAGCAGTTGGCTACATCTATTATATATTTCAGTTTGATTTCTCTTTTAGATTAATTTGTGGACACATGACTCACTTCGATTAATCTTATCAGCTATCACTCTATTCAACAGCTCAAGATCATGAAAAGCGGCAACTTGGCCTTTCGTGAAGTCAGAACAATGTTTAGGCATGTTAATAAATGTTAATACAAATGTAATAAATTTTATAATTTCCAATGGTGGGGCCATTTTTTGCCACGACAAGGGTAAATTGCAACTCTTCCAGTGGCCTAGTCAGAGTCCTGATCATAACCGAATTGAAAACCTTTGGGCGATAAAGGGCAAGCGTGTCTGTAATAGGAAAGTTAACACACAAGATGACTTTTTCCACAAATTAAAGAAATGCTGGAAAAATCTGGCAAAGGATGTTGACTTACTAAAGAATTTAGTCTATAGCATGCCATGAAGAATTAAGGCTGTTATTAAAGCAAAAGGTTACCCAACAAAATACTCAATCATTTTTTGACTTGTATAATGTACATAAGCACACCTGTATTAATACCCTGTATTAATAAATGAATTCTATTACTCACTTGTCTTGGTAAAAATAAAAATCGACTTTCTATGTGTGTGTTCATTTTTTTACCTCGTACTGTATATATCTTTTGTAGTGCACTGTTTTCATTCTTGCTGGATCTAAAATTGTTTTAACTATGGGCCTCAAAATATTGACTGAAATACATTTCATTGATATTGTTCATAAGAAAGAAAGAAAAAAAAAAGAAAGTTAGTAAAAAAAGAATGAAATAAAATTAATGTGGCTAGTTGTGCTGCGTAGATCTGAGCCCTATCAAAGCTGGAGATATACGTAATAGGTAATGTATTTCTGGCTTTAATTTTATAAATAATCTTTTAAAAATCTCTCATGATTTGTATACCCAGTTTTTCAAAGAACACATTTTTATTTCAACTTATTCTTTACAAATGTCCATTTTAAGTAATTTATTTCGTACAGTATAAAGTTTTTTAACAGAATGTATCTTTTGAGAAAGGGCAAATTAAATTTAGCACAACTTAAATGTGACTTTTTAATTTCATGCATAGAGATTTTCAAGAATTATATATTTTAGTTGGAATAAAGGAATCATTTTAGCATCTAAGTTATATCAATAGCATATTTTGTTAAAGATTGTAATGAGCCTGACAAACATTAATGATCTAAACTTATATATATATATATATATATATATATATACACACACACACACTATTTACATTGTCCAGACTATTGTCCTCATCTTTGTTGCCATATTTATGATGTTTCAGATGATGTACACTCGAGCTTTCTTCAGGTGATTGAAATTTCGGACTGAACTCTTTATTTCGTCCACTAAGGTAGACTGTTCTAGCTTCACATGCCATGCCTTTTCTGGATGTCTCTGTTATCTCCCTTTAACTCAATCTCCAAGTTTTTGTTCACCCAGATATTGAACTCACAACTCATTGACCCAAAGAGTTGTTAGCTCCACATGTAAAAAAGAAAGCTAAAAATAATGGAAGCATTATTTTTATATATATATATATATATATATATATATATATATATGTGTGTGTGTGTGTGTGTGTGTGTGTGTGTGTGTGTGTGTGAAAATATAGAGAAAATAGGAAAGAACTCGTTGGTAAATAATCCAAAGTTCTTTAGTATTTTTGTTATTATTTTTAAAAATAGTACTCAATACAAAAATATAGCATAAATATAATTAAAAAAAATTTCACTTGAAGATGGAACAGAGCTTAGTACTTTAATTCAAATAATTATATTGAAGTTTTCGGCTATTGTTTTGAAACATGAGAACTCTTATGTAGCGTGTTGGAATCATTTTAAATATATATATATATATATATATATATATGTTGCTTAACCAAGGAGACCCATCAGTGGCATAATCAAAGGGCCTAAAAAACTCTCCTTGTTGATAATATGAGGGGAACACAAAATACAACTTTGTTGCTCACATGACCAACGAAGTACATGTCTTCAGGTGCTGATGTGGATTTAGAAAGGTAATACTCATAAAAGAGCAAGGAAATGTCACTTCTATTCATAATTTGAGAATGAGGGGAAAACCTGCTGAAATACTAATAAAATCTTGCTTACTAAGACGATATTAATTTTTTGAAATGAATGTTTTTTTTTGTGATTATTATAAAGGGTGTTCCAATAACTAGGACCAATTTTAAATGTGAATTAAGTTTAAGTGTCTGTTTTTTTACTTTTCTCTCAGATTTGGCAGACAATATTATTTTCCATACATAATTGTCATGACTTAAATAACATGATCCAATAGAGAAATAAATAAATGTTCACCAGTAACACATATTTATTTACTGCTAACTTTGATCCATCTTAATGAAACACATTTATATATAATCTATCTTAATGAAACACCTTTTATTTGTTATAATGATCCTGCACCACACCTTCATGAAAACAATTTATAGTTGCATGGTTTTGCATCAAACCAAATTGAAGTCAATACTTACAAGGCTGTTTCTGAATAATATCAAGTAATTTGTCGATGCATTGTATTCTTTGATTTGGTTGAATGGTCTCCAGGAATTCTATGAGGTATTTGCTGGCATCACTGCAAAAGGAAAAGACAATGAAGAAGAATGTTCAGCTCTTAGTTCTATCGTTGCAACTTACAATGAAGTGCAAGATTAACTGTTTCCAGATTTTTAGGTTAGGTTTGGTTAGTTAATATAACAGCATATCAATGCTTTTTTACACTATTTATATTGTTCAGACTGTTGTCCTTATCTTTATTGTCATATTCACAATGTTTCAGCCTTCTTCATGTGATATACTTTGGAATTTCAAACCCAACCCTTTATTTAATCCATGGGGAGGGGGTAGGTTGTTTTAATTCCACGTACTATGCGTTTTGTTGGATATCTCAGTATCAGTCAATGCCCTTTAGTAACTGAACTCTGCCTTGCCCAGGTATTGAACTCATAACTCTTTGGGTCAAGTCACTTTTTAGATTACTCAACCAATGCTTTTATCCACTAGACCATGTGTTCTTGGGGACAAAACAGCTGAAACGTTGTAAACGTGCCATATAGGATGAGGACAATAGTCTGAATGTTGTAAATAGTGTAAATAGTTACAATACCTCATCTTAGAAATATAGAGATATACCAGCACTTACTGGATTACTTGATGTCAAATTATAGAACAACAAAACAAAACATGTATTAATACAAACAAAAGGTATACATAGGTCTAGTTCATACCCCAAAAGGGATGTGTATGTGCATAGTATAATAAAGAAAAAGAAAAAAAACAAAAAAAAACAAATGCGTAGGTGCTTTGTATGCTAACATTGAAAAAAGTACATGTAAGTAGGTTGTATGTTAGAGGCAAAAGACAGAGAGAGAAATAGGTTGATTACATATGGACAGGTCTACATATATATATATATATATATATATATATATATATATATATATATATATTTTTAAATTTCTCAGAATAATTCTGAAGACAAATTGGATAAAAAAGACAATTGGAAAATAGTTCTTGCTGACGAATTTCATCATTTGACTTTATCAAGGCAAGTGATGATAAATAAAAGCAAAATGTGTAGTTACATCAAATTTAAAAAATTAAAAAAAAAAAACAAAAAAAAGCTCATGTATTAGCCTCTTTCTGGATATTGCTATTTTTTTTTATTTTTATTAAATGTTTTTTTTTGTTTTCCATGTCAACAATACTGTTAAATTACTCAGCATAATTGTATGCTCCAGCCTTCTTCAGGTGATACATGTTGGAATTTCAAACTGAATCCTTTATTTCATCCATGGGTTGGATTTTTTGGTATCTACAATACCTTATCTTTGAAATATAGACATATGGTATTTTTGTTCCTAATAAAAAACACCATGAATTAATGAAAACAAAAGATATACATAGGTCCAGTTTACACCATATTAAAAAATAAGGTACATGTAGGTGAGTGATTTTTTTTTATAGCTTATCAACCTAGGTTATTTAAAGTCAGAGACTATTTAGATTTTAGGAATTTTTGATATAATAATGAGAATTTTAATAACCCATTGAAGGAGAAAGAAGAGGTGAATTCATAACTTTCCCAAAGGTATTTGCACCTAAGTGAATATAATGAACCTGGGTGGAACTGAAACAGTAGCTCCAGTGAAGCACATACAATTCAGCTTAGGAAAAGGTCATTCACACTGACCTGATGATCTTACTTACTATAAAACGCAGATTGTGTGTGTGTGTGTGTCTGTACGTTTATATATTGGATCGGATTTCCTACATTTTTCAACCGATTTCAACAAAACTTCACAGGACTGCATAAAATTACCTTGCGGTGGTTCTGACAGCGCTAAAAATTGTAAAAACACAATTATTTTTGCACAAAATCAATTTGAAAACACGATAAAACACGATTCTGTCACCAGAATGAAAGGGGGACAACTCATATCGAGTTATACTTATTATAAAACCCAGGTTGTTTGTGTGTGTGTGTTTGTTTATATATGGGATCGAATTTCCTACATTTTTCAACCGATTTCAACAAAACTTCACTTTTTTTTGGTAGGTAGTGTTTCTTATTGTCTTGCACACTTTTTTCTTTATTTTTACATTCAGAATGCTTTAAAAATTCCATTTACAAGACAATTGTTTATGATAAAATTCTATTTAATTGGTAGACTCATAATGATTGAAAACAATGTTTTTGTTTGAGTTTGACCAATTCGTAAAAAAAAAAAAAAAAAACTAATTAAGACATGCGTGTCCGTCAACCTTAAACAATAATCTTTGTCAATTTTATTTTTCAGTCTTTATGATGGTCGATACTTGATCTATCTCTTACTGTTACATCCCCGGGCAATGCCAGGCTCTACTGCTAGTCCCTATTATGACCTCACAACATGACCTATTATTATGACATAAACTATCACCTAATCATAGAAAATACCCCAAAATATCAAAATTGGTATATAAATGCTCAAGGTTTGTGCATCCACTCAAACCCTGAGAATTACTTAAATTAAAAATGAATAAAATAAAATTTCTGAAAATCTGATAAGCATGACTTGATTGGTTTACTGTTTTATCAGCTGTGGTGTAGCACACACACACACAAAATTTCATAGATTAAGATCTTGTATGTGCCAAATCATTTCAGGATATGGACGATCATGGCTCTCTCAAACTTCCTATCCCATGTGGCCCTTAGCAGTCTTTCTCCTATTTCTAAGATTCCCAACCCCTTTCTACCATCAATTCGCACATGTTTGTCAGGTAGGTAGCTTGCTACAATCCACTATCCTCTTTGTCCTTAATACACCTTAATACACACTGTGAGAGTTAAGTTTTCCAAGCTCTCCTTCCTCATTATGTGTTCAAGGAATTTCACCGAGTTCCTGATTCTGAGCATGTGTTCATTTTGTTGTAATTTTCTTTAAGACTTCCGTGTTGCTTCCTCGCTACATACACGGAATTATCAGTAACCAGAACCTTCTATAGAACCACATTCCTGTTGCCTCCAGTTTTCTGAGGAGAGATTCCATTATCATCATTCACTGCTATACAAGTAGATTGGGTAAATTTTCATTTTAACACCCGAGCGTCATTTACTGCTGAACTATTTTCTTTCAGAAATTAGTACGCGATTCCGTAAAGCGATTTTTTTGGTATTTAATTTAAGAATAAAGTTAACTTTCAAATATATGTAAACATCGACAAATAAAAGAATAACAAAAGAAAAAAAACACCTAACCCTAATTTGAAAGATAACTTTCTTCTTAAAAAAAATAAAAAAATAAAAGAATAACCAAAAAGAAACAAAACACCTAACCCTTTGAAAGTTAACTACAAGGAATTACTATGAAGGGAGTAAATAGGCCCAAATTGTATACGTCCACCGACAGGATTCAGCACTTAATTACTTATCAATAAGACGCTAATGGCTAACGAAAGACCAGGAAAAAGTCCGATTTTTTTTCGGGTCGTTAACATCCAAAAAGGTAAGTTTCTTTAATTGTTGATTTGAGTTCAGCATATTTGCACGGAAATAAGACTATTTGGGAAAAATTTGAAGGAATATTAGCTCTCGGGTGTTAAAATGAAAATTTACCGTAGATTATCACGAATATATATTAACAAACAAAAAAATTATGAAATTTTATAATAGTTAATACTAACGAAGTCCAGTTTGTTATGTAAACATTATTATTGCATCCCCTCCCCATGGGAGTCAAAACAAAGTATGTAACGAAGTCCAGTTTGTTATGTAAATAAATATTATTCATTGCATCCTCATGGGAGTCAAAACATGCTCACTCTCATGCACGACGTGATTTCTTTAAGAATTCTAAAAAAAAAAAAAAAAAAAAATTTAAATGTAAAAAGATTCATAATCTGGAATATTTTCTCAGTTTTCATCTTTTTTACAAAATAAAACAGAAATATTGGATTTCGTACGCTATTATTTTTCAATTATCCTTTAGATAACTTTTTATGAGACTCGTTAATAAAAAAAATAAAGATTATTAAAAAAAAGTAGGGAATTTTGTGGTGCGAAAATAGCTTAGATCCGTAAAGTTAATAATGTACAACCAAGAACTTATTAAGGTTATTTTTTTCGGTTGTACAAACATAGTCTTGTTTGGGAAGAGTTTTTTTTTTTTTTTACTTCACCTGAAAAAGAAATGCGATGAATGAAAGAAGCTAACAATGTTTACAGTAAAGCCAGAATTAAATGATATAAAACAGAACAATAAAACAAAATTAATTTCATGATTTTACCTCCGGAGAGTTAATCCATGCATTTTAAAACTCGACGATAACTGACTCTTGATTTTCACCTTTGCCGACGCCATCCTGAATATTCGCGCCAAAGTGCGAAACGAAAGATATTAAAATAGAAACTTACATTTTTTTTTTCAAATGTAAATTTTCTTATTCAGAAAAGATTCTAAAATAAATATAATTATTTAATTATTCCTTATGTGTTGTTTTTTATGTGTTGGACTTAAAATAAGAATTGAATAACACAAAAAAGAGATACGAAACTAACATCTGAAAAAAAGGCACATGGAAAAAAACTTTTTTGTTTTGGTAAAATAAAAAAAAATGTATTGAAATTGTTAAAGTGGAAAACAGCTTTGAAATAAATTTAATATTAAACAGTCATCGATATAATTATAAAAATAAGAAAAAATTGCAGAAAATAAACGTTTACAAACTCAAAATAAAATTTGTAATAAAAAACAACTGCAGGCCAACTATTAGTATTAATGTTGCTAACTCCGTAACAAGAAAACCTGAACAGATGAACTGAAGTTTCCCAACCAGAAGACCGAGGACTCTGTAGAAATGTTCCCAACTATGAGTCCACGGACTCCCTTAGGGATAGTTTCCCAACCAGAGGTACGCTGAATTCAAAAGTTTTGGTATTTCTGATTCCATATGTAACAGCTTATTATATAAGAATTTTATACAATCAGTGCAAAATAACCATTTATTTTAGAATTTTAGAGAGAAATAGAACTGTATTCAGGTTTATTAAAGACATATTTTCAAAAAGCAAAATTTAAATGTAATTTTTAAAAAACAATCATTCATTCTTAAAATGTAGGATAAAATATCTCCCATATCAGTTGCATGATGATTGGCAACCCTACTAATAACTAATAACTTTGACCACTATTCCAATTAAAAATTAAAATGAAATTAATAAATACAAACAAATATTTATAGAAAGAAAAAAGAAATGCAGCAAAATTATCATAATAGAAAAACAATTATAAAAAAGGTGAGTTTATGGGAAATATGATTTACAAGGATTAGTTATTTTGTCTTTTTTTTTTTTAAGGAATTAGAAAATAGTTTATAATTTCAAAATATTAGTAAATTTACTAAATACCAAAACAAATGTCAGTTTGAGACACCGTGAGACATCTTATTAGCATTGGCAACACTGACCAAGATGTCAGCTTGCCCAGTGGCAAGTGAACCCCCTTTTTGTCTTTTTTTTTTTTTTTTTTTTCACAGTGAGTTTCACCCTGTACAAGGGCCAGGAACCATTTCAGCTAGAGGGTTACACATTAAGAGACACAATTTATGAAGATAGGTGTGGTAGATAACAGTTAACCCAAGACTTGAACATGTTAAGATTGTAGTGATTGATAAAACATTTGGGGGGGGAGTTGGTTCCACAGAGCAGTGAATTGTGGGAAGAAGTTGCTCAAGTGGAACTTACTTCTCATCAGTGGGATACAGAGGGAATGATGGTGGTTCACTATAATGGGTGTGGCATGGTGGGTTCTAGCTGTGAAGGTTAGAACTCGTAGAACTAAGGTATGTAGTTTGTCAGGACATTTTCCATGGAAGTAGCAAGAGAAAAGTGAAAGGCTTGCAACATCTCATCTGTAAGAGAGGGGTTGCAGGGTGGAAAATAATTTGTTACCCACAAGGAGGTGAGGATGCTTTTGGACCCTATCAAGACTAGAAATTGAGAACTGGGCAGTTCTTGCCCAAATATGGCACTAGTACTCCATTTTAGGCCTGATTTGGCTCTTGTAAAGATAGAGGATAGCACAAGGTGTCAGGTACTTGCTGGAGTGGTACAGGGAACTGAAACTTTTTCCTGCATCTTTAGCAATGGGTCATATGTACAAATTCCACTTGAGGTCTGTGTTGACTTTGAGGATCAATAGCTGCTCAAGGCAAGGGTCCTGCCTGAAAGGATATGCATTCATTGTGACTGGTGGTATTCAGGATTTGATTGGCAGTGATGGAATGTAACTAGTTTAGTAATTTAAAGGAATAAGAACTTTATAAAATCATCTGCACGCTATCAGTTACTCAAATCCAATGTGAGATGATATTTTCAAAGCTAAAGATCATAAAGACAAGGTTAAGAAATTCACTGTCTGAAGAAAATTGGGAATCATACATGTTGGTATCCATTGAAAAGGAATTGTTAGATGAATTGGATGCAGAAGCAATTATTGGCAGATTCACCCAATCATCCTGTGAATGCAAACAATTGTTTTTAATTAGGTGAAATGTATGCAATGCTCTATTGCACTTTTGAACTATCTGTTAATGTGCAAATTGTGCAGTAAATTATTTAAAAATATCAACCAATTACTTAAAATTAAAAAAAAAATAATTAAAAATTAAATTATATCATCTATGTTACACTCTAATTACTATGAAATACACGTTTTTCCTAAAAGATTTTAATTGTATATTTTTTCCTTATGTATTGCTGAGTGGGCCTCCAATATCAAATAAAAATGCAATAAAGAAACAAACACAGACAACTTTTTGAGTAATGGAAAGGAATAAAAACTTTGCGAAGTCATCTGCACA